CTGTAGTGGGTCATGTAATACTCAATGCAATATATTGATACGCACAGATCACAAGTCACTCAACTTCACTTTCCATGTCTTATAGATAATGAACTGAACACACAACTGAACTATTATTTACATACACATATACAATTCTGTTGGTCGATACACACATTGAATTTAAGCTTATATTAAACAACTTTCCTTCAAAAGTCTCAATAATTCAATTATTTTGAAAAACCCAAATGAGTTAACTTGAGCGAAAAACTTGGTTAAATTCTTTTTTTTATAATATGTGCTTTACAGCTTAACAGCTGGTACTTGTGAAAGTTTACTCATGACTTGAATCTGATAAGAGTCTGGTTGACTTCATCCCTTTTAAATCTGAAAACTTGAATTGATTTTAGGATCAAATTACTCTTGAAGGAGAGAAAAAACTTTACAGATGATTAGGAAGGTCTGAGATTGTGAGAGCTAGCTACTTGAGATTCACTAAATGAGAGCACAGAGGACTAGTCATATAACAATGAATGTATTTATCGCAATCCTCACAATAATTGTATTATTTTACAGATATAGAGCAACAAGTCTGGTTAAGAGCCATCTACTACAACAACAGTTGGGTCAGCTGCTCACCAAGCATATCTTATCCATCCATTCACCTGTACGTGAATCTTAGATGTGATTTGGGTTGTTTCTTTTTATTGACATATAGGTTACAACATGTTCGTACTAAATAAATATCTTATTTTGTATACAGCAGACCTGGGAATTGAAGCTACAGTGTATGGTATCAATACTATTTTTAATCAACAAGATTATTTAAAATAACAAAGTATCAGCTACTGATATGAATGTATTTTTGATCATTGATATAAAATAGTATAACTGGCCAAGATACTAATTGACAATTATGGTTCGCATTACTGCTTCTGCACTGCTGTTATATGTATGTAAATCAACTTTTTGGATATACGAGTAGGCAGTTTATGTATGGAAATGGCCATATTAACATTATTTGTCTTATTTTAAAAGTAGGACCTGTCATTTCACAGGCACTTATGCTGAACATTATATTTCATGACTGTTTTGCCTGATTATATTTATTAATGCAAGTGACTACATAAATGATGGTTTTATTTTTACATTATGCAGTACTTTGCCTGAAATTTAGGGCCATGGGATATAATGTTGAGTATGTGGTATGTACATGTATATGCATTTTTATTGAAGGTGTATAGTAACATCATCCTGACCACAATGAAGCCAAATGTGATCTTTTTACGAAGTCCCTTAATTTACTGCTCAATTTTAACACCTGATTATGTTGAAAACGCATGCAACATTTGTTATTATCTGTCCAAATATAAATGTTTTCTTTATATATATATATATAAAAGTTGTAATGCAGGGCAAACTCTAAAGGTGGTGAATTTTCGTCTAATTCATCATAAGTCTAGTTAAAGAAGACTGATTAAACATTGCCAGTGAGTTTAACAAAGCTCTATTCATTAGACCTTTTGGCAGAAAGCCACAGTATAGTTGCCTACCTTGATATTAACACCAGTAAAGCTCACAAACACTAGATGAAAGCCTCCTTTATGTCTTAAGCTTCTCATACAATATGCTGTCTTTTTAGTTTGCATTAATCTAACAAGTGCAGTTAAGGTTTCAACTCTGACAGCTCCACTCTGTTTATGACTAGTTTCTACACTTTTTGACAGTATGAATAGTAGATTAAATAACAAAACTATCAAATTCTATGATCTTAAGACACTAACATTTGTTACCCAAATCACTAAATTTATTTTAAATTTACCCATGTCTGTTTACCAATCACTGACTGTGTACTTTCACCCCTTTATGTTAACCAATCACAGAATGCGTACTTACATGCATGCCTGTTAACCAATCATTGACTGTGTACTTTCACCCCTATAGATTGATCAATGTACATTTGTATGTTAATCAATGGGGTGTATGTCCTTAGCAATTATTATGACAGTGCTAACAGTTTTGTAATCTTGATTCAGTTAGAATTATGCTAATTCGCTAAGTTTTAGAGTAGAGACATTCTAAAATGGTTTTCATGAAGACATGAATATTTTTTCAAATTAAATATTTATAAATTTCAAATAACGACCAAAAACAACTTGACCAATCCTAAGGCGTTAATGGAGTAAATAAGCCAATCCTTGGAGAAAACTGGCAGACACTCATGGGTAAAGGGAATTATCAAATGGCTTCTATAGCCAATGAAAGCGTTTTTTTGGGGGAGGGATTTAAATGAAGTGTGTGGGTAAATGTTTTATAAATTTCCATAAAAAATATTCATGTCCTTATTCGTCACAAAAATACATTCTTGCTTAAACCAATAAGATGAATAGATTCAGACTACATATAGTTTCTCCTAAAATTCTCTTAGTTGTCCTTGTAAATAATGTTTGAGTATTAATCCTTGAACCATATGGTTTTGAATTGACAATAGAATGCCTTCCATAGGTTTAGTACTTGGTAACAACTGATAACAAAACATACAGATTTAAACATATCTAAATATAACACCTTGTTAACACTTCCTGTCTTAACTGCCCCCAACAGGTAATCCAATTACAAACATATCTGTATACATAAGTAAATCCTATTATTAATTAACAGTACACTGTTATGTGTATTGTAGATTGAAATCTAAACATAAATGGTTTTGTTAAACTTCTTGTATCCTAGGATACATTCAACAATCTACTATTAAAACAATTAACACATTTATTAAATAGGGTAATCAGGTCTGTGATCATAGCAGCTAATCATGCATTATTTCACCATTGGTCCATATGGCACCAAAGTATGGATACAACTATATTAACATCACTTCAAGACATCTTTTGTAAAAGTGTAGTCAAGTATGAAATTTGAATGTCACGAATTACACCCAAAACAACTTTTGTGGTAAGTAATGCAATGAATTATTCTCAGGTTCAATAAACCAAATCACAGCAATATCTGGCTCACAAATGTCTTCATTAATACTGTGTTTCACTTGAACAGTCAATTGTAACCCCCAAATAGATATGATAGTGCGTTTTTACCTTGCATTCGAGCTAAAGTTCTCCGACATTGCTTCTTGTCTGTGTAACTGAATGGGTTACTGCATGCCTTGACGTTATTGCCACATCTACATTCAGAGTTTTCTATATTACAACCAGTGTAAAAGTTCTCGCACGAAACCAAGTGATCAGATTTGTCTGTAATATTGAACAACATCGTATATTAAACAACACTTGTCAATGCGGGGTAGTTCGCTACAGGGTGCATACTTGGTCGAATCCGTTTTAACCATTGCAGTATTATATTACATTTACCAACTGACTTGTAAGCATTTGTCCAAGGGACTTGTACTCTCAAACAATGATAAAAACAATTCGTCGGAGCCTTGTTAAGGGCGCTGCTTTATGAATTGCTACTTAGAACCAAGGCTATATGATGTGTGTTATTTGAGGTAGCTACACGTTGTTCATATGTTAATGTGCCAATTTCTTCTTCACAGTCTTTTTTAAAAATATGTGCTTCTTTTCATTAAACTGAAAGAAATCACGCGACTTGTTCTTCTCAGTGGAGCTACTTTCCATGCACAGCATGTAGTGTTTACGTATTTAGAAATGTCGCTGTGTCCGTTAAAACCAGTATAAAACGAAACGTATGCATCCTTTTAATCAAAATACGAACTCTGATTAGTCTACGGTATGGTGATATCCCATCCTAAACATTGTCTGCACATACAGCGGGGCAGCGAGCAGACGATCGCACCGATATACGGCTGTTTACAATTTGACTGTGTATAACGGCGTGCCACACGTTAAAACCTTAATGGGCTATACTTACACTGACATGTGCCAAATCCCGTTATATAATCCCCGTGAGCAGGCCCGGAACAGTAGAGACCTTCGTCACAATAGTCGTCACCAAGGCCACCACATCGTTCGTCCACCTGCTTCGCACAAATTTTGCAACAACCACAGCTATCGTCTACCATACCCCCTTTACAGTTCGTGGGTGGACACGACTCAACATCACATGGAAATGTACACGAGTACGAATAGCCAAGCACTGCGCTAAATCCAAGAGTTACCACCAATGAAAAACATAACGTAACTTTACAAATAGTAAACATCGTCCTGCAGTGACTTTTCGGCAAAAGTAGATAAACTGAATTATTTCAGTATACAGTGAATGCACAAGTCATGTACGTAGTTGCCGGTCTATTTAAGACAGTTTCGCAGAGAACACGGAAGTGATCCCACAGTGTCTGTCAACCTTGCTGTTGGACCTATGGACTATGAACGGCGTGCGATACACTGTACTCCGGTATAGACTTGCTCGGCACACTTCCTCCCACTCTAGCTGATCGCTGATGTATGAAAAGTGAGGGAGAAAATTCGGAGTATTTAGTCACCCCAACACCTTTGGGGGCTGGGTCAGCAACAATGCTGATTGGCCACCACGGCGCCAAAGACTGTGACCGGACACCTACTGTTGGTTGCACAATGTACATAGTAGCTAGCCGTTATTAGTTATTCATTGCCACTGTCAATCAACCTCTTCGAGTGTGCCCGGCTGTTACATGAATCACGATGCCGCCCTCTTCTACAAGCAGTGTAAACCGAATAGTATTAAACTAAAATGACAAGCACTGCGTAATGGAAAATATGGACAAAATAAGTCATGACGTTTACCAGGTGTATGAGTTTCGCAAAGACTCGATAAAGCCCCGATGTATAACTTTAGAAAATAAGACTATGTCCAATATAATACTACCATGCTATGCCATGCAGTATCTCAAATTGTTGACTACATTGTTGTGCGTTTTCGCCCACGGGAAACCGCATTCCATTGTATACTGGCTGGATTTCTTCCTCTCTTAGGCGTGTCTTTATGTGGTACGATATGCGACATTTGCCCCTAAATAACCAACCCATACAATGATGTAATGATATCTAAGTTTTTCATCAGATATGGCAATTCAATATTTCATAAATCAAAAACTTTAAATTAGTATTCTTTGATGAAATTTGTTTACATAAGGCTAGTATATAATAATAATAATAAAGTATAATACTTGTATCATTTTTGGGATTTTGATTACCGGTGAATTACAATAAAGTGAAATAAACGTACGACGTAGTTCATTTGTTTTTACCTGTTTTAGTTTCATATATGCTCCATGTTAATTTTGTTTAAACAATTTTCAGCAACTTAATTTTTTACTGTCATCCAAATTTCAACATAGTTTGTATGGTCTTCAGCAAGTAATATATTTTTTTTAATTCTGTTCTAAGTTTCGCCCAGTTTTTGAGCATTTGATGGACAATTGTGACCAATAGGGGATATTTGCCAAGTTTGTGGATTGGGGCGTGCCGAAGGAATGTTTTCTAAAATTTGTAGTGCAGATTCACTCATTGATAACACGAGGCAATATATAATGCACGTAAAGTGTTTTAAAAAACTGGCATTGTTAAAAATATAGTCTTACATAAACCTATGCCTGCTAATAAGGCCTCATTAAAAATTTGGAATTGTAATTACAAGAGTAAAGTTATGTTGATCTATGATCATAGGATTGTTTACAAGTGTTTTATCGTGACTGATAAATCAGAGCATTAGTTTGAATAAAGTGACGTGTTAATGATTTGCTTTTGACTATTGTGTAATCGACAGTACAATGTATTTCCTTCATTTACTATTTTCTCTGGTGACAGGTTAATTTATTGGTGGAATCTTCAATACACTTATCGTATCTGTGCCAATATACATGGTTTTGCAGTTGGATGCCGTATTGTTTAACTGCCAGATCATATGATGCGTACACCCCGATTAACACATATAAAAGTTTCGGTGAGGATGCCATTTCTCCAGGTGAAAATGCTGGATGATTGTAAGTTCAAGTAGAGTGTGCGTTAAATTAATGTACATCTTATTATAGATAAAAGATATATTTATTAATATGTAACCGCCGCGATGATCATCTATCAATGAAGCAGGGTTACCGACTATACAAGGCACGTCGGTGGTGATGTCGTAAATGGGTACAACCATAAATTCTGACATTTTCTATGATATATAGTCTATAAGAAAAGCCGGTCGGATCGAGGAAATACCATTAAATAATATTTCAATTCACCAGTTCTCTTTCTGTGATAATTTATTTCAAGTTAATAATCACATCATTATTATTATTATTATTGAATATAGGCTTTGTTGAATCAATACTTGTATCATATTGGAAACTACTAACTACCTTATGACCGCATTTTGTTTGCGTGTAATTTCCAAATGTTCATACATCTACTGCCGTTATAGATAAACCCATGGGAAAACAAAAAAACTGGAGCAAAACCACCATGACAGTAATTTTTAACTCGAAATACTTGAACATAGTTTCGAAATGAAGACTGGGGCTTGTTTTGACAATTTCCGCTGATTCCAGAAATAGACACAATTGTGGTTTGTGCTATTCAGCATACAGTGTCTTTTATATTCACATCACCCTTTTGAGGGTAGCATTTTTCTCTTAATTTAAAGACGAACTAATTGTGTAAAACTACAATTGGGAATACACGTTAGTGGACGATTGTCCTTGGTTGCATTGTACATGTCCATTAAAATCTTACTCCACCAATTTGAGAATTCGTGCTGTTGTCTTGGTGTACTATTTCAATGATACTGTGAGTGAAACCAGAAAAGCGTATAACACGATTATTATTATTAAGTTGCAATTAAAGTAATCACCAATCTATTTTCTCTTTTAAATGTCCTAGCTACAAGAGCTGAGAAAAGATACAGACTGTCAGTTTGTCAAGTACACCTCTCGCTCACTAGGCCTGTTGTAGGAATAATCAGTGTTTATTTTCTCGCACCCTGGTGGGCGAACCTGTATGACTTTGGTAGTTTCTTTTATTTTGAAGGAATCCCAGGTATTTCAACAATTTGCCTTCTTTCTACTCCCGAGGATATGAATGATTTATAATCTGATTTCGATAACAACAAGGCGTTAAAAGAGCCCCGCCTTGCTGTTTTTGTCATCTTTATAAACCAGCATCCCCGTGGTCCTCGCGCACTATATTTGCATGGATTATATGTCCCTTTCCAGACGAAGCAAACAAAGATGTCTCGTTTAAAGTGTGATAAACACTCAACTTTACGGTAAAGTTGAAAAAAGCCCATATTTATTAACTACTGTACAATAATTATTACACATTCCTCTGGGCCGTTTAATGAGTATGCTTTAATACTAGTCAAAGAAAACTGTACCTTGTGAAATAATTTTCATTTAAAAAAATAAAACACCATTCTTGAATGTTTGTGTATCAATCGTCCCATTAGAATGAAGCCGGGTTTTATATATTATATTTCCTGTCTAATAAAAACAGCTTCCGGATAGAAGAGATCACTCTGCCCTACGGCGTTATGTTGTTTTATTGCGTGCAACATTAAATACTACGAGAAAACTGACGCTGCACTCATAAATAGCTCTCTGTATTTAATGGTTCCGACATTTTATATTTCGTCCGGTTTCACTCGCTGAACTTGGCCTTCTAGTGGCCTATTTGCACGTACCTATATTTTGACTCTGTTTTTACCAGTTGCGAACCTATTACTATATATCTGGACATTCTATGGTTGATATTTAAATAGCCTGTGTAAAGTGCCAGTATTATTACCAGTATTATACTGTGACCTGATTATCGTCTAGATGCAGGTAACCTATGTATGCTTCATAATCCAATGAACGCAGCATGATATAGCGTATGTACACACCGAGAAACTCCAGATAAGGGCAAGGTTGAGATTAACGGTTTTGACAGACGACTCTCTCGGAAGAACTATACTATGTTACCTCAGTAGTAGATGTAATTTCTATGTTACATCCGGTTTTACTGAACCAAATTCATTTTCAGTATCACTTCTACGAAACTTGAAATAAATGACCGTAAAACGAAATGGTGTATGTAAACATAACTTTTCGATCGGTTCTTTGTAAGTTACTAATTTAGGAAACTGATCATTTAGTACGTGTGCCCCCATGTGTGGTATAATTGCGTACTATCATCAATAGTAGGTAACCTACCACATAGCCGGATGTTGGTGCGTCAGATGGTTATACCTCGCGGACCACGCTACAAGACGATGCCTGAGCGTAAACATACCTTCTCTATATACAATCACACTATGTCATGTATAGGCCATATACCAGTATACTATGCGACGAAACACTGGTTGCCACGGTGCTGTGTTTTGCAAACACTGGCTTGGTGACTGAATTACGACTACTGTGATCTCGTGTCTGTAGTTTATATATGATTTAATCACAATGCTGCCGTGTTTGAACATACGAGTCTAGCTTGACTTATATATTAGACTGCATTATATGATTTATATTTATTAATATTATATCGTGTCACCTATTTTACTATTTTCAGAACTTATATTAAAAATGTTTTAGAAAATTATTACACGCATCAGATACACACATCATAAAAAATAATACCCTGAAATTGGCTGATGTCCGTGATCACTACTATGTAATTTGCTATGCGGGGCACTTGAACGCTAACATGTTTACCTGTGGATTTACAATGTTTGTCATTACACTGTATTCAGGCATATATAATATACCGGTATGTATAAAAACTCACTATACTTGCCGGTTGTTCTTGTGAAAATCGATCTACTTCAAGGCTTGTTTCTCGAATAATCCCCATTCTTCACCCACACCGTTGTGTTTATCATTGCCACCTGTCCTTGTGTTTTTAAGTGTGAATTATAAATAAAATGACCATTCCCTAAGATAGCCTTGTAGTGCCAATTTTTAAAATCGATTAGCCCAATTGACTTGACTTACAAATTAAGCTATGTTAAGCTCTATTAATTTCACTACTGATTTGCAATATTTTATGACTATCTCCTTGTTTGTTTATGGGTATAAGCGAAATTACCAAATCAGGCGTTTTGTTGGGCGCGAAAAAAAAAGTGAAGCTAAACACGTGCGATATCTCATAAAATTAGTATTATCATGTTCCGGTTTTAGTACGTCTTGAGTGGTATGGTTCAGTAGGTTTAAGTTTAAACAAAACGTAGACCACAGGCATGTGTTTTGACGCGGTGTGGGTGGATATCGCTATTCGTGACACATTGCCTCAACCCAGTGTACCCATAGCAATATGAGTCGTGACATTACGTTATTTCAATGCCTTACATGGCCATGCTGCATGCTACTAAACGCTGTGATACACAGAGCCGCTATGAAGACCATGCTGCATGCTACTAAACGCTGTGATACACAGAGCCGCTATGAAGACCAATCTGCATGCTACTAAAC